CTATGGAATCCTAGGATGTATAGTTTGTTATGGCCCAGAGCTCTCAGACAAAGAAGGCTAAACATCTCACAAAATGACAAATCCCAGAATTCCATAGCAATGAGCCATGGCAGTTAAAGCAGTGTCAAACTGCATTATTTTCTGCAGTGCAGACACAGCCAAAGTCTCCACACTTCTCCTTTATAAAAGTCAAGGTGCAGAATGCTCTTAGATCAATCAAGTTATTTTGGCATTTGATGCAAAAACTCTTACAAGGGCCTCTCCTGGAAATAAAGGTACCTTATTTTCCGGTATATAAGACGACCCGCGTATAAGACGACCCCCCCATTTTTCCAGTCACAATATAGAATTTTAGCACCTCTATCCTCATTATCCTTATATCCGGCATATAAGACGACCCCCCCACTTTAGCCACAGATTTTTGCAGGTAAAAAAGTAGTCTTATACGCAGGAAAATAAGGTACATACAGTAACAGTTAAATACTTAAACATTTGCTTCCCTTTCATGACATCCAAAATCTGTTCCTTTAGAAAAGTCGCCTAGCTTCCCGCAATCCTAGAGACAGCCCTGACATGGAAGCAACAAGGATTTTAAGGATTTAAACCCACTGAGACTGGTAATTCTGAACAGAAAGAGATCCTTTTCCCGAAGAACTTCTCTGTAGCTGTGCTGGTTGCAGAATTCTGGGAGCTGAAGCACAAAACTAACTTTTCCAAGCTCTGGTGTAAATACTATTTGAAATCATAGGTTTATAGCATGTTCCACTATTCGTTCTGTTTCTTTTATTTTTTAAAAAAATCTTAATTAGATTCTTTTCCCGTGTTTAAAGAAGCCCATGGCAATTAATGCATTATTTCTTGCTTTCTATAGCCCATTACATTAGTTAAACTATTAAACTGTATTCATTGCCAAACTGAAAGGCAGGCAAACAAGAGTTGTCATTTTCTTTTTCCTTCTCCCCCAATTCCCCCTCCTAATATCCACTTTATGTTCTCCCAAATTACCATTTGAAGTCTTGCATTTCTGGGGTAACTAACAAGATTTGCTCATTCAGATGGAGAATATGCTAAACAAACATTATTGTGCTTTATAATTAAATATTTTTACATTTCCCCGTGGCACTTAATTGTTCTTGCACCATTATGTTTGTTCTGAGTTCTTTACTGTTTTGTTTTTGCAAACTGAAAACTAATTTGGGGAGGTGGGAGGGGGTAGTTGGTTGTTGTGTGCCTCCAAGACACTTATGACTTATGGAGACCGTAACGTGAACTTATCATAGTTTTTTTTTTTTTTTTT